CGAGGATGACAGGTTTTGATTATATGGTTTGGTTCATGACCTAAGCCAAGTAGTAAATTCGGCACAGCTTTGGAGTTGAAGACTACTTCTCTGTAAAGGGTAGCTAATGTGACTTATTTTTCTCGTTAGTTAGTAGACTAGTATATATCATATCATATCATAAGTCATAACCAATCGAAATAAATCGGTGGATATACCTAATTTTGATTAATTGATAGGAATACTGATACAAGGTAGGGTGTGTCTATCTCATAGTAATTTTCTTTTTACAAACTGGTTGAAGATTTGACTAGCGACTAGTTGGTGTAGAGGTAGATATTTACAACAGTGTATTTTAATTTCTTAAGCTGTTTGCATTTACTTTTTGACAGAACTGAAATACTGTGGTTAACCCATTTAAGAGTGTGCAATAAATTTCATGTGTGTTTACTGTAGTTGATAGACATATGTCTTCTCGATTGATATGGTCAAACTCTCTCTGTCATTTTCTTTGAATGCATTCAGTTTTGTTGTTAGCTTGTGGAATGTGGAGCCTTACATTTTTTGTTGTTCAAAGATTGTGAGAGACCTTACATGAAAATAGAAAGTTGTGTTGTGGTCCTATGATTGTGAAGGATCAAAGGGAAAATTGGAGAGGATTGTAGGGTTATTCTACTAGAACATATTTTAGATGAAAAAAATCCAAGATTCTTGTAAGATCATTGTATGTTGTTACATGACACTGTATGTTGTTACATTACGCTACTTATATCTGTTTACTATCTGATTTGATTTGAAGTTTTGAATTTATAGAGCCTGTAAAGTAATGGTAAAACATATGATGAATCGAGTTGTTCAGTTCATATCTGTAAAAGGAAAGAAACACAGAGAAATGTAGAAACAACATGGAACCATTCTTCAGTGGAGCGTCTCAGCGATTCTGAAGAGTCTCGATTGCCTTTTTCCACACCAAAGCTCTCTGTTTCACGTCTTCAAATGACAAAACCTTCTTTGGCTGCACAATTCAACAAGACTCAGTGATTTAAGTTTTCAACATCTCTGGTAGAGAGACAAAAACCTAAGGAAATGATGAGTAGTACCGTGCAAATCTTGAAATGAGAAGGGCTAGTGACTACAACGTTGAGATCATTCGAGTTATCAGACCAGATAATGTTCCCTTTCACAACTAGCTTTGACGGGTCAACATAGATTAGCTTTGGTTTGTTGGTTAGTATTAGCTGCACCTTCTTGCTCGTTATTTTCTGAAGCTTCTTCACTGCTGATATCATCAGGACTGATTCTCCCGGGTCCAGAAACTGTTGCCTGTTATATAACACATGTTCACACACACACAAAAGTTAGCAGGTTTTCTAACGATGGGACAAGAAAGCTTGAATGTGCCCACCATCTCGAATCAAAAGAGTCTATTGAAGCAAGACGTGTTATGGAACCCGATGATTCAGAAGGTGTGGAAGGAGCACTGTGCCCATCGTTATGTGCAGCTGAAGAATCTCCAGTATGATTCGGGTTCCATGGAGAGCCATGAGCGTCTTCCCTCTCAGGAGATGCTGTCTGAGACTGCACATCAGGTAACCAAATCAACAAACGATAACAGTAACGAGCATCACATGTCTAGAGTATATACCGCAGGATCTGGGGCTAGTTTTGGAGGAGTCTGAGACCTAAGATTCTTCCAGTCAATTCCCATAAAGAAAGGATGTTTCTTAAGGGCAGCATAACCTTCTGACCCGGCACCTGGTCTTCTGCTTGGATCTGTATCCTGAGAGAGAACATGACAGTAAAAGAGTTACTACCATATCATTTTACTGGTGACAACGGCTTTTGATAGTATATTACCAGCAACCGGTCAATGAGGTCTCTTGCTGCATCTGAAAAATGACTTGGGAACTTGATATCTCTGGCTATAATTCTTTGGAAAATCAGCCATTCACTTGCGTCTTTAAATGGAGAAGTCCCTGAAAGCATTTGGTAGATAGTGCAGCCAAGAGCCCATAGATCATTTCTGTTTGAATAGTGTTCCACAGAGTAAGAGGAATTGTAATCCACAGAAACCAAAAAGGAAAATTACGAAAAAAAAGAAAAAACTGTTACCCAAAAGTTGCTGGAGAAGAGTTGAGAACTTCAGGAGGAACATAAGCAGCAGTTCCGACAAAAGTGCACGCCTTATCGTCTGTATACGTCACCAGTTTACAGAGACAGGGCTTAAACCAGAATCTGACAATAATTGTCTGATAAGACTTTTAAGTCCAGAAATATTAGAGAGGATCATGGGCAGTAATATTACCAGAAGCAGCATTAGGAAGAACGGTGACCCGGCTATCTTGCATGGGCTTCACACTTCCAAAATCCGCAATCTTGATGTGCCCATCTGAAGTCAGCAACAGATTCTCCGGCTACCATTTCAAGTAACAAAAACATGATGGTATGAGTCCCATATTACACTTAAGCACTGCCATTACAACAATTAAAGCATGTCTACACTACATTTAAGCACTTAGAACATGTGGCTTTACACTTGAGAACTGCCATATTGTAGAGGCCATAAAAGAGAAGAAATTGGAGTTTACCTTAATATCACGATGAATGAGTCCCATATTATGTATATACTCAAGAGCATCCACAACTTGTGCACTGTAGAACCGAGCTTCATCCTCAGATAGCCTACCTTTCTGCATAAAAACACACATAAATAACCATCATGGTGTGTCAAAATACCAAGAATCAATCTCACAAGGTTCTGAGGATTAGTCTTACTCTAGTTATTTGGTCGAAAAGCTCTCCACCCTCGCAAGATTCAAGTGCCATATCTACCAAAAGCATATTCAGACAGTTGGCAGTTATGTCTATAGCAAGCACAAGTCCAGTGCTATTGAAATAGTAAGAAACGTACATAGTGAGAAGGAGTCTTGAAAAGTGAAGAAGAGTTTGATGATCCCAGGATGATCAAGCTGATCAAGAACAATCCTCTCAAGTTTGACATAAGCTGTTTTATTCTCCTTGGTAATAAACTTTTTGTCCATAATCTTTAAGGCATACACAGTTCCTGTTTCCTTCTTCATTGCCCTAACAACCTGATTTTTTAAAATTTTATCCACAAGGCACTCAAAAAAACTGGCTAAAGAGATAAAATTTAAATAAAAATGAATCAAAAGCTCAACATTGCTGAGAAGATGCAAAGCATTAAATTAATAATAATAACCTTAGAGTAAGAACCAACGCCATAGATCTTGCCAAGCTGAAAATCCTGAATGGTAAAATTTTCTTGGGGAGCTTTGAAGGAGAAGCTCTTGCTTCTAGAAACACTTCCACCACCATTGCCTTGAAGAACAAGCTTTGTATCAAATTCCTTCTCCATTGCCAACATTTGCCACTTTTCACCCTCTCTTCTACGTCTCGATACGAACCATGCTAAAAAAAAAAAAAATACAAAGGAGTCGATTTCAACAATCAAACAGAAACAAAAAAAAATAAAAAAGAAAGAGAACCGTTGGATCTGTTGTTACAGGAAAAGAGTGGTGGTGGTGGTGGGTTCCGATTTCGAAAATTGTATCGAATAAAAGCGAAAGAATTCTCGATTGAAGGAAACAAAAAAAAAAAAAAGTAAGAGAGAGAGGTAATGGAATATTGGGAAGAGGAGCAGAGAGAGAAATGAGGGAAAACTGATGGAGGAGAGAGAAATGTGTCACACTTCAATTCCTTCTTCTTCTTCTTCTTCTTCCTTTTCTCTCTGATTATTAAAATAGTATTATTTGCAGTAATTTACTGCTCTCACTCATTACCAGTGTATGTTTCATTTCTGAATGTTTTGTAAGCCATGACATCATCCCATTATTTTCCATCATTATTATATATTTTTCTTTTTCATCTGAAAAGTGGGTCTAAGCCCAACAATTTCACAGACAAAGGTCCAAAACAAAAAAAACGGGCCGACGTAAATAAAAAACTATGGGCCAAAAAACGGGCCAACCTAAAAATAACTATGGGCTGCCAGCCTATATAAAAATGTGAGCAGAGTTTTTAAATACGAAAATATATATGGTGTGACCAATATTTATCTTATCTGTTGGGCTCTAACATGATTCGGTCAGCTAAAGATAGAACTAGCCAACTAGGTCTGAGCGTTTTGGATACCAATTTAGTTCGGTTTGGATATTTCTAGTGTCGGGTAATTCGAATAGAGGGTTGGAGGATCCATTTATTACTTGACCTATCTTTGGATCGGTTCAATTCAGATAGTTTCAGGTTTGGTTCGATTTGGATAGTAAAACTACGAACTAGAAAATACCTGGAAAATTCGGTCCTTATTTGGTTCGGATGGTTCGAATAAATTATCGGTAATTTAGGATAAAATATCAAATAATTTAGATACAAATTTTGAATATTTTGGATTACTTTGAATATTTCAGATAAAATTATCCGTATATTTTTGGGTAATTCAAATATTTTATAATTATTTAGTTATCTTCAACTATTTTTAGATATTTTTAATAGATTTTTAAATTAAAATCATATATTTAGTTATGTTATATATATAAAAAATTAATATTAGTATATATTCGGTATCCATTTTGTTCTTTATTCGGTTATTTCAGATATATAAATATAAAAACCCTTTCGGATATTTGAAAATTTTGGTTCGATTCCAGTTTCAGATATTTTGGTTCGGTTTCGGTTTTTTTGCCCAGACCTAAGATCATAGAACTCTGTCATCAATCTAAAGCTAGCCCCAACTTTGAGACTATGATCAAAACTCTTGTAAACCTTAATGTAATGTGAATAAACAGTTTTTCTTCCTAATCATCTCATCATTCATATCATATCATGGAAGCAGAAGCTTTGTTCATTCCCTACAACAACAACAGCTTCTAAACATCTAACACGATCATATGAGAAAATAGAGAGGCTATACCAATTGTGAACCGAGGGCTACAAAATTCATAATTTTAACTTTTTATTTGAAAAACTACTTACTTGCCCTACAAGTAACAACTCCTCTCTTTCTACAAATCCCACCCATCTTTTCTACCACCAAACTCCCACCTCCGATCAAACAAGCTTCCATACAACTCAGAGAATCTCCGTAAACACTCGCTTCTCTTCCTGTAATGCTGATTCGTGTTTCCACTAATAGCCACACCAGAAAACTTCGAAGTATCAAGAACCAAAGCAGAAGGTCTCACATACTCCACAGCCTTCACCGAACCACTCGCATTCGCATACAAGAAATTCAACAAAACGTCTTCGCAATTAAACTGCTCGTCCACAAACTCCCGACCAATCCTCGCCTTGTCCGATTGATACACACCAAACGCAAAACCAACGTCCATAAACGCAGCTCCCGTGAGAATCATATTGTAACCCTTATGACTCCTCGCGAATTTCTCCGCACTATAAGTCATGGTTTCATCAACGTAACGAGGGTAAAATCCGACAAGTCTCTCCGGATGTTCACGCCAAACTCTAAAACCCTTCTCGATTTCATCGCAAGACATCATTATATCATCGTCAAGCTCAAGAACAGCTCTAGTTTTAATCAACGGGTCTATATTGAACCTGTTGTTTAAAGAGTTTCGTTTCTCGACTCGGATTCTAACCGGCACGGCGGAGTCTAGCTCGGTCACTTCAGGAGGTGGTCCTTTGTTCCATATGACAACAATCTCTTTCACAGAAGCGCATCGTGAGTAATGCTTCACGTACATTTTGAGATTCCAGAGACGTGCGTCGTAAGTCATAGTTGCTAACGTGAACTGAGATACATGACCTTTGAATGAGTAAGGCACAACAGCTCCGCTTCCACCGTATATGTAACTGATGCCTACACATGAGAGGAAAACTCCTACAAGGAGTATTAAACCGAGTGCTAATCTTCCTAATTTGGAGCTAGGCTTCACGAGTCCTCTTAGAAAAAGTGGTACTCGGTTTAACCGAGAACACATTCGTCTCAACTTCTTCGAGAAAAAACCATCAGTTTCTGAATTTAGAACCGTATCGGTTCTTTTTCCAGCGTAGTAGTTCATGCACCAGGTCGAAGGAACAATGCAGTTCAAAATCCCAAGTAAAAACCCGAGTAACACAACCAATGTAATAGCACCTGCGAGAGAGGCGTATCCGAGAAGAACACGGTGAAATAGATCTCCTGAAGTTACTCGGTCACCATCAATAAGACCAATGTATCCACCAGAACTTAGCTGTTTTACTACGAAATGATGCTGCCTAAGTCCGTTCCAAGAGTTTTTACCTTTATGAGACACTTCTATATCAAATGAGACTTGGACTTCTCTGTACTCTTCTTTAGAAAGAGTCTCTATTTTAAAAATGCGTATCCTTTTCCCATAATTCTCGCCACAATCTTGACCAACACGATAGAGATTCCCATCGTGTAAGAACGGTCTGCCTCCGTTTCTTGCACCAACGTTTCTTTTACCGTTGTAGATAGGATTCTTCTTGTGTGGTTTCCATGGGCCGAGAGGAGTGTGACTGTACCAAATTTCAAGCTGGCCATTCTTCTTGGCCCCAAAGCTACTGTGATCTGATCCGAATAGCCAGTAGTTTCCTTGGTGATGGATTATGGTGGAATCAACAAGAGGCTTTTGTAAGATGACTTTCTCCAGCTTCCAAGTTAAAGGGAAGTTGACAGCACGGTAGAGACGTAGCTCTCCTATCTGGTTGCTCTCTGGCATCATGTATATCTAAAAAAAAACAGAAGTAAGCTATAATGTTTTAGAGAAAAGTTCTCTGTCAAAGTTTGTTTATTATTTGTGTGTATCTTACTTCTCCTTTGTAATTGAAGACGAATGGGAAAGATAAGTGCCAAGCCTCATCCAAAGCTATACCAAGAGGCTTCCAAGTTGCTCCTTTGTCAGTACTCTCAGCCACTCCTATATCCCCTTGCAATGTGATGGGGTTTTTATTCTCAAAGAAGAGGTAAAGAGTATCACCCTGTTTTTCATAAAGGATAAGATTTGACAAGGCTGATCAGATTTTTTCAAAAATAACATTTGGTCATTTGCAACCAATGTTTAAGAAATCGCTAAAGATTATTGTTTAAATAGACGTCTAGATAAAATTTTATCGTCCAACTAGGCCAATTTTTAGAACACTGCTTGCTTGCAACAAAGATTGTATTCATGAAGCAAACAAGATGAAGCCAAAGATAGTGCAAAATCGAAGAAGAGGAGTAGAAACTGTATATACCTGAACATAGAGAAAGGGATCAGCTACAAAGTTGCTTGGGAAACCAGAATTGGTCAAAGAGGCACATGTTAAAACAGGGTTAGCCACAGGCCATGCTGCACTCTCGTTCCTCCATACATTAACCTATCTCCCATCATCACCCACAAAAAAATTAAATCACCGAAAAAAAACAATTATTATTTACACATATATGAACCCTAGAATGATCGGTAGAATCTAAAAGACTCACGGTTTCAATAGGTTTGAGAGTGAAGGGAGAATCACCATAGTAAACACCAATGGACCAAGAACCCTCATTGTCCTCTCTACAACCTAACGAAGATACATGATCCGTACGTCCTATATGCGGTGGAAACGCTAGCCACGCGTACGTCGCGGCCACCAAAGCGTACAGAACAAAACATGAAGCAAAGAACATAAAACGCCGTACGGAGCTTCCACCGTAATTGGAGAGATATCTGTAACGGTCAGCGGCGACGTTCTTATGGAAGCTACTTTTCCCGGTGCTCTCCTCCGCCTCTTCCATCGTCGGAAATGTCGAGAAACCGATTTGCTTTCCTCACTCACCGTGTGATTATCGCCGTATAGTGAATTCGAAATTTTACTTTAAAACTCTCTTTTTTAATTCAAAAATATTTATGATTCCCTATTAAATTTTATTAGATTATTTCCATTTAAGGTTACAGAAAAGATCTCTCTCTCTTTTTAGCGTATTCGGAATTATAAAAGGTGACGAGTGTTAATGCAGAAGCGGAAACGTTTATTATTATTACTTGGCATGTTCATCTTTTTTTACTAAAGTACCCTTTCGTATTTTGACTACTCGCTTATATTAGATGACACGTGTAGACCTGCCGCTACACGCGTGGAGACCAGAACCAGCCGCTTCCGATGACGTCAGTGTTTTTCGCCGGTTTTAATTTTTTTTCTCTATGTCGTTTACTTAACCTACGTGGTACAATACTTTTGAAACATGCCATGAATAATATCTGAGTAATGAATAACATTGGATACTATGGGATATATGCATTTAATGTACGTGCTCTTTTGGTCGTAAGACTAGTGTCAGACGATGGTTTTGGCGTCAACTATTTTTCAGTAACCGATCTAAATAGTACAAATAGCTACATTGCTAGTACATTAATGGTGGTCCACTATAGTGACATGCGAAAATTACATTAAACATAATCAGTTTAACAAAACAAAGGTTTAGAACTCAATAATCTTGCTCACGCAGATGTACATATATTATGATATGTTTTTCTTCTAAGCATATATTATTCTCAGTGTTACTTAAGTCATAATATGTGTGGTGTGTATGTATGACCCAAGACCTACTCCTACCTATTTTCGGAAGAAACTTGAATTTATTTATAATCAATTATTAGAAAATAACAAAAATAGCTATGGTAATTTTGTTTGTAACATATATTCATTGGTTTGGACCTCCATGTGCATCAGTTGCTTTGAAAATATAGTCTGGGCATATTAAGCATTTCTATAATATAGTAAATTCTAAACAATACATCAATGACAACCGCTCATAGATTCATGGTTGTTAGATAACTTTTTCTTAATTCGGTAAACATTACAGTGATAGCTCAACAGTTTCTTAAAAGACTATTTTCTAAAAATCACACTACCCGTATAGTTTCCGAAAAGCCCAATCTTATAAAAGCATCATCATACACTTATGTCCTGTGGTTCTTTTGTGGTCCATTTTGTTTTTCCTATGTATCGAATTCTCTAACCGAAACTAGAATAGTTATGAAATCTTTGAGCAGTAATGTAAATGATACAGAGCTAAAAAATACAAATAACACAACTACTAGAATATGCGTGGCTGCATGCCTACATTCCTAGGTCAGATTCACTAATGATATAAAAAAAATACAATTTTTGGTTCATGAAGGATTTAATCTAATATCCAAAACTTAGATAAGCAGTCAAAATAGTAGCCAGAGGAACCGAAACATTGTCATCTATTTGATCGGTGATGGGTAATGACTCGACCAACGTAGCGACCAGTGAGACTATCGCGACTCTCGTAAAGGTCGTTTCCCAGTTCATGTGAAGGTACCCAAGGCTTGAGTAATAGTAAAGTAATCTGCATAAGTATTGCAAATGGAAGGACGTTTAGGTTTATATGCAAAATCTGTTAGAAATATTTTAGTAAGGAAGATAATATTTCTAAACCATTATGTGGTCTTTTGGTAAACTTAATTATATTGAGATTGTTAAATCCTAAAGACAATTTGGTAACCAATAAAATGGTGATTAAGGGAGTTAAGCTTCTAATGATGATGATTAACTAATGGTCAAGTGATTTCTTCTAGAAGTTCTCTCATTAGATGACTCATGAAACATGTGTCATTATAGGAAAGCATATGAATTAAGTTCAATGCATCAAAGGAGAACAAATTCATTGTATGAAACAATGATTCTAGAAGTTTTAACACTTGTCATTATACAACCTTGATGGATGGTTGAGATTAAAGAAAAAACTTGCCAAGAAAGTTATCAAAACTTGGTGAGGAAGCTTTTGGTCCCTCTCCCCACCTATATATAGTGGTCTTTGGGCCATCACAAAACCACATCAAAGAAAAATCTCTACAACACATAAGAAGGTTTTAGGCAAGGGGAGAGAAGGCACAAAAATCTTGAGAGAGAAATTTCAAAGTTCTTGTGAAATCAAGAACTCTTCTTCCACATCAAATCCGTTCTAGAAGATTTCCGAAATCATGAATGGAGGTATTCCGATAATCTTTCTTAAAGTTCTATTAGGTGATTAGTTTAGATGTTGAAGATCTTAGGGTTCATGTTAAAATTATGTTTTAACATGTGGTATCAGAGCTAATGGTTATAAACATCTAGACTAGTCCGGAAAGTATAATAGATTTATATTTATGAAAGTAGATCAATTCTTAAGAAATGAAAATTTTGATCTAAAATAATATTTATATTTCGGTTTAAAACCGATGAGAGTTTTCGGAAATCTTGAATCATATATTTTATGTATGTATTCTATTTTCGATCTCTGAAATGAGAAATAATGAATGCATAATTTTTCTATACATAAATCGTATAGAATTAAATTAAGAAATTTATGCATGATTTATAGAAAAAAACAATATTTTCATATAAAGAGCAAAATTAGGGTTAAAGTTCACCACAGTGACTTTACTCTAAAATGATTTGCGAAATGAAAATTATTGTTTAAATAAGTATTTGATATTTTGAGTAATAATTAGTTACTCACAGGTAGACTATATACTCAAATATATGATCAAATAACTTATAGAGTGTATGTATTGTGTAAACTGAATATATCCACAGATAATTTAGTCTGAATAATTCGATACATCACTCATAAATGTTTTTGAATTCTATGATTATTACTGAAATCTGGTTGCTGCCCACAGGAGTTCCATGATTTCTTATCATATGTTTTCATTAATTGTATATATGTGTTGATTAATGTTTTGAAGTCTAAATTAAATCTTGTGTATCTCAAAACCTCGCAGCTTCATTTCCTGCTAGTTTGTCGTCCATGGTCTCGTCTGTTCCAATTCTTACTGGAACCAACTTCTCAGAATGGAAAGAGAAAGTTGAGTTCACTTTAGGAGTACTAGACTTGGATTTGGCATTACGTGAGGATGAGCCAAATCCACTAACAGAGGATAGTACCGAAGAAAAGAAAGATTTTTTTAAGAATTGGGAAAAAGCAAACAGACTGAGCATTATGTTCTTAAGGATGACAATAGCTAGCAACATCAAATCTTCCCTTCCACCTGCAGATAAAGCGAAAGCTTACCTGGCAGCTATAGAAGAGCGGTTTAAGACTGCAGACAAATCCCTAGCAGGGAAACTTATGGCAGATCTTACAACCATAAAGTATGATGGCACAAGGTCTATGCATGAACATTGCATTGAAATGACCAACCTTGCGGCAAAGTTAAAGAATTTAGGAATGAGTGTGGACGATTCGTTTCTTGTCCAGTTTATCCTAAATTCTTTACCTCCTCAGTATGGACCATTCCAAATCAATTATAACGCCATCGATGAAAGATGGACGTCGAATGAATTGGCTAATAAATTGGTCCAAGAGGAGGCTAGGCTGGGTCGTGAAGGTATTAAGGTTGCCCATTATATCCAAGGAGCTGGACCTAAAGCTGGGAAAAGGCAGATGAGCCATAAAAGAGCACCACCCAGAATGATTGACAATCAAGTGAATGAGAAGAAAAAGGCAAAGAAAGATGATAAATGCCATTTTTGCAGAAAGATTGGACATTTTCAGAAAGATTGCCCTAAAAGAAAAGAATGGTTCGAAAAGAAAGGTAACCTTTTAGGTTCCGTAAGTTTTTTCGAATCAAATTTTACTAATGTTTCTTCTAAAACTTGGTGGATAGATAGTGGTGCTAATGTACATGTAACTAATTCCATGCAGGGATTCCTTATGATCCAGAACATAAACTCAAGTGAAAACTACTTACTTATGGGAAATCGAGACAAGGTGCCGGTTGAAGCTATTGGCACTTATCGTCTTATTATGGATAGTGGATTTTGTTTGGATTTATTTCAAACTCTTTATGTTCCATCTATTTCCCGTAATTTAGTTTCATTAAGCAAACTTGATTTAGCTGGTTTTAAATCGACTCAAGGAGACGGTTGTTTTAATATATTTCTGAACTCTAATCGTATTGGTTCTGCAAAATTAGTTGATGGCTTATATAAGTTAATTTTGGCTGATCAACCTATTAAAACACATCTCACCCTGCATACTGAAGGAAATCTTAAGAAGAAAACATGTACAAATGATTTATATTTCTTGTGGCATAAGAGATTGGGACACATTTCCAATGAAAGAATGAAAAGGTTGGTAAAAGACGGAATCATTCCAAATCTTGATTTTACCAACAAGAAAATGTGTATAGATTGTATTAAGGGAAAGCAAACTAAACACACTAAGAAAGTAGCCACAAGAAGTACACAGCTTCTTGAAATCATACATACAGATATTTGTGGACCTTTTGACGTTCCAACTTTTGGAGGTGAAAAGTATTTCATTACCTTTATTGATGATTATTCACGTTATTGTTACATCTATCTATTGCATGAAAAATCTCAATCTGTGGATGCTGTACAAGCATTCATAACTGAAGTAGAGAGGCAATTAGATAGAAAAGTGAAAATCATTAGGTCAGATAGAGGTGGTGAATTTTATGGCAGGTATGATGAAACGGGACAACATCCCGGACCTTTTGCCAAACTTCTCCAAAATTTAGGAATTATTGCCCAATACACAACGCCTGGTTCTCCATGGCAGAATGGTGTAGCTGAAAGGCGTAATCGTACTTATATGGAAATGGTTAGATCAATGATGAGTCATGCTAACTTACCTATATCTTTGTGGATGGATGCATTACGTACTGCAGCCTATATCTTGAATAGGGTTCCAAGCAAAGCAGTTCCAAAGACTCCTTTTGAACTGTGGAAAGGCTGGAAACCTAGTCTGGCACACCTCCAAGTTTGGGGATGTCCAGCTGAAGCAAGAATATATAATCCACATGAAAAGAAATTAGATTTCAAAACGATTAGTGGTTTCTTTATTGGTTACCCTGAGAAATCTAAAGGATATAGGATTTATAGTCCAAACCATAGTACGAGAATAGTAGAAACCAATAATGTCAAATTCTATGAGAATGGCGAAATTAGTGGGAGTCATAAAGTAAAAGAAGTGGTCATTCAAGAAATTAGGGTAAATATTCCTTTACCCTCAATTTCGGATGTTGGTAAATCTCCTATTGTTGAACCGTTAAACAATGAGGAGAATCCAGTGAATGACCATATACTCCATGATGAAAATATCGCCAATAATGATCAAGTACATGGTGCACCAGGGGAGCTAGCATTAAGAAGATCTACTCGTGAGAGGAAATCTGCTATTTCCAAAGATTATGTACTGTATCAAGTAGAATCTGAAGAAATAAATATTAGAGATCCGGTTTCTTATTCACAAGCCATAAAAGATGTTAATTCTGATAAATGGATTGATGCCATGAAGGATGAAATAAAATCGATGGCTGAAAATGAAGTATGGGATGTCGTTCAATTACCTAAAGGACATAAGCCAGTCGGGTGTAAGTGGATCTTTAAGACCAAACTCGACTGTAATGGAAATATTGAACGACATAAAGCTCGACTTGTAGCCAAAGGTTTTAATCAAAAGGAAGGCATTGATTATAATGAGACTTTTTCTCCTGTGTCCAGAAAAGACTCTCTCAGAATTATCATGGCTTTGGTAGCTCAGTATGATCTTGAGTTGCACCAAATGGATGTGAAAACTGCCTTTCTTAATGGAGACTTGCAAGAAGAAGTCTATATGCGGCAACCTGAAGGCTTCATAATCGAAGGTCAGGAAGACATGGTCTGCAAACTAAAGAAATCAATCTATGGACTGAAACAAGCTTCGAGGCAATGGTATCTCAAATTTGATGAAACCATTACGAAATTCGGTTTCAAAGAGAATATTGTAGATCCATGTATATACCTCAAGATCAGTGGGAGTAAGTTCATATTTTTGGTTCTGTATGTTGATGATATCCTATTGGCCAGCAGTGATCTTGGTCTATTAAATGAGACCAAGAATTATCTCTCTAAAAACTTTGCAATGAAAGATATGGATGAGGCAACTTATGTGATTGGAATTGAAATTTTCCGTGATAGATCACTTGGCATTCTAGGGTTGTCTCAGAAAGCATATATTAACAAAGTTCTTGAGAGATATGGCATGATATCGTGTTCTTCTAGTATAGTACCTATGCAGAAAGGTGATAAGCTTGATCTTAAGCAATGTCCGCAGAATGAAATGGAACGTAAGGAAATGGAAAATTATCCTTATGCCTCACTTGTGGGAAGTTTGATGTATGCACAAGTCTGCACAAGACCTGATATTAGCCATGCAGTGGGAATGCTAGGAAGATTTCAGAGTAACCCAGGACTCGCACATTGGAAAGCTGCAAAGAAAGTTTTGAGATACCTAAAGGGAACAAGAAATTACATGCTCACATATAAGAAATCAACACACCCACAGGTGGTTGGATTTTCCGACTCAGATTTTGGTGGATGTCAAGATACAAGGCATTGCACTCTTGGTTATGTGTACCTCTTTAGTGGAGGTGCCATCTCATGGAAAAGCCAAAAGTCAGAATTGATCTATACATCCACTATGGAAGCTGAATATGTGGCATGTTACGAGGCTTCTATTCAGGGAATATGGTTGCGGAACTTTGTCTCGGAGTTTAGGGCTTTAAACTTTATTGACAAGCCTTTGACTCTTTATTGTGACAATCAAGCTGCAATCTTTTTCTCAAAGCATGATAGGATATCTAAAGGATCCAAACATATGGATTTAAAGTATCTATCATTGAAGCAAGATGTCAAAAGAGAAAAGTTTGTCATTGAACACATAGGCACCGAACTTATGGTCGCAGACATATTTACGAAAGCTTTACCTCCAAAGACATTCATGAAGCATGCTGAAAGTATGGGTCTAGAGGATATAAATAATTAAAGTTGTCTGCTTATGTTTCGCCTATTTATGATAATATGAGCTCTTAATGTCTTTTGCATCTTTTATATTCTGTTTCTAAAGTGTGTACACATTATCGTTAATGGATTAATGATAACAGAATAGTCTTTAAATAAGACATGAACGGGACCCTTATGATAACTCCAACTAATGGTCTAACTTTGATAGTAATCAGTGTAGTAGTGCATGGAAGGAATCATGTTGCAAAATAATATGTGCCCGCCATGACTCTCATTGATTATTAGAATAGCTAAGACAATGATGATGACCAAATAAAAACAAGGTTTAACAAATGATGCCGGCTTTATGATTCTCAATACTTAAGTTTATAAGTCATACCAACGACCAAGTGGGAGAATGTTAGAAATATTTTAGTAAGGAAGATAATATTTCTAAACCATTATGTGGTCTTTTGGTAAACTTAATTATATTGAGATTGTTAAATCCTAAAGACAATTTGGTAACCAATAAAATGGTGATTAAGGGAGTTAAGCTTCTAATGATGATGATTAACTAATGGTCAAGTGATTTCTTCTAGAAGTTCTCTCATTAGATGACTCATGAAACATGTGTCATTATAGGAAAGCATATGAATTAAGTTCAATGCATCAAAGGAGAACAAATTCATTGTATGAAACAATGATTCTAGAAGTTTTAACACTTGTCATTATACAACCTTGATGGATGGTTGAGATTAAAGAGAAAACTTGCCAAGAAAGTTATCAAAACTTGGTGAGGAAGCTTTTGGTCCCTCTCCCCACCTATATATAGTGGTCTTTGGGCCATCACAAAACCACATCAAAGAAAAATCTCTACAACACATAAGAAGGTTTTAGGCAAGGGGAGAGAAGGCACAAAAATCTTGAGAGAGAAATTTCAAAGTTCTTGTGAAATCAAGAACTCTTCTTCCACATCAAATCCGTTCTAGAAGATTTCCGAAATCATGAATGGAGGTATTCCGATAATCTTTCTTAAAGTTCTATTAGGTGATTAGTTTAGATGTTGAAGATCTTAGGGTTCATGTTAAAATTATGTTTTAACAAAATCTTCTCAATCTTAAAGAGTTGTTCATGAAGAAGACTAGTAGATTATGAATAATCAATTGTGGGTTTAATTTTTTACCCGATGGAGATAAAGAAACCGAATATGAACATGGAGATGCTTCCGGCCATACTCTTCCTTGGGTTGTAAGGTATCTTTTGTGATCCAAACTTTCGTCCCATGATATCCGCTATTCCTACAAAGACATGTGTTTTATATATTTTAAAAAATATATATTATACTTTTAACAAATTATAATAGTTATCTTATAGATGACAAAAAGAAATCTAAAATAATTCATACTTGTCATATTTTAGCTTGTAAAAAAGCTGTGAGTATTTCGGTAAACGAAGTTGGTTGTAAGTTGTAACTATGATATTATATATTAATTACTACTCCCTCCGTTATATTCTAGAAAAAAAAATTGTTTCTAAAATATCCATTTTTTACATTTTCAATGTATATTTTATTAAATAATTGTAAACTTAAAAAAACTTAATTGCACTCATTGATTTTTGATTGGTTTAAAATTATAGAAAGAAGATAAATACAAAAAACTATGTAAATTTATTGTGTTTTATTAAAAAGTGTGGAAAACTAGAATATAGATCTTTTAGGAACAGATGTAGTAAATGTCTACTTTAACTGACAGAGAGCAAGAAATTTTTAAAGGTTTTAATGTTTGAATTTTTAGAGTCTATTACGGTTCTCCCATGATATCAATATTTGTTCATCGGTAAAAAGAGAGAAATAATTAACCGATAAGAAAAGTTACCGTCGCCACCGCACATCATTGCCAACGAGATCATACCGATAGGAGAATCTCTCCAGAAGAAAACCGCAGAGACGAGAAGAGCTAGAACATAGAACAATGGACCTTTAAGCAACTCTCTGGTGGGCCAAGTTAGTTGGAAAAGAAACAAAAAAGGTGTCACATGATTTCTTAAAAAAAATTCATTAGGAGTTGGAGAAACAAAGAGGTAAAGGCTAAACAACAACATACTCTGGTCTTCCTTCTCTAGTGACGGATTTAATTAGCGTGGAGTTGGGGGAGATGGATAGTCCATTGACAACAAGTCTTACAAAATTCACTAATGGAACTAAAGCAGCAAAGTATCGAGCCTCCTTAGATGCACTAAACTTAATTAAAAGATGAAGAAACAACAATCACGATGCTGACGTTTTAAAGGTATAGAGGTTTTTCATTGGCACCAGCGTATAGAGAAAATGCATACCTGAAGATTGGCCACGAGAGTACAAAAAGCAGACCTGAGAGTATATGCACAAGCTTTCTACTCAATCTCTGTTTCATCCAAAACATTTCAAGAAAATGTTACTAAATAATTAAAGCAAAATGTATTAGTATAGTTTTTACTGCAACAGGTACTTTATTCAACAGACGACAAGAGTGTAATCACTTTGGTTTTGTTCAACTAATGAAAACATCAGAAACTGAAGTACTTAAGAGACCTGTGAAACCACGTTTCGCTTCGTGAGACTTTCGAAGGTCAAGACAAGCGCGTAGGCTCCACCAAGAACTGCCCCCGTGGCTCCAAGGTCATGTAATAGAGAAACCTTCGTATCCGCGAAAGAGATCAGAGGATGGTGAGCGCGCAACTGACTCGACGAGCCGATGGGACAAGGAGAAGAAACCAAGAAAACCCGAGGACAGGACCGGGGAGTTGTAAATGGGTTCCAGAACCTGTAGCTGTTCCGACATAACTGATGGCTAATAGGAGACAGTGGCAACTTTGCTGACATCTCAACCGCCGCGCTGGTAGAGGAAGAGCAGAGCTCCAAGAGCTGAATTGTGAGGCGGAGAAATAGGAGACGTTTTGAGAAAAGCGAGTATACTATATGCTTTTAATAATTCGTTTTTGTGTATTTTTATTGGTGTTAGTTGGAAATAAATCGTTATCTGTGATGTGTCACTTTCTGAATGGTCAGTGAGAATCCGAAATCTGACTCACATGAGCATCTCGTTTTTCTTACGTGGTATAGTTATGGACTCTGTACTAACCTAGTGATGCCAATAGCCAATGGGCATGGCCTATTTAGGGAAGTGTTTCTTCTTCTTTTTGTACAAAGATTTTTGGGCTTATTGTAATATTCGGATTAATTACTAAGATTATGTTTTATATTATTGCTAAAAATCTGTCTAGTATTTTAGATACTGGATAAAAGTTTAAATAGTAAGCATGGTCTATTTTGGCTTTAATTGATTACTCATGAACGTTTTAAAATACTAATAAGGTGATATTCATTTAGATATGTATTTTATAAAATACTTCATAAGTTCAGACAGTACTTTTTGATATCTGTAAATTGTGAAATTTGTTTTCTTCTTTTATATAAAGTTCCAGAGTTCTTTCACATGGTATCAATCATACGTGGAACTAAATGTAAGCGCAAGAATTTGGAGTCTATGAGTCTTGGTTCACGTACTTGTGTAACACACAGATAATGGTGTGTGACACACGCTTCGGAGAATAAAAAGGGAAACAGCAAGATACGATAAAGTAGAATATTCTCATATATTTGGTTGACGAAATATGTGTTAAAAAAAGGATTAATAGGCTTAATGAGCTAGGGTTTTGCTTATTGGAGTATAAAGAGACAAGATGGTGAGATGAAGCCGTCACGCGTTTAGAGTTTATTGAAGATGCACATGGATGTGTGTGACGTCGTCCTACCAGACAGATGGACAGATCTGTTGGTAGTTTATTTTCATTGTAATTCTAGATTAGAGTGGTAGGCACGGGTGTGTGCTGGATNGAGCTAGGGTTTTGCTTATTGGAGTATAAAGAGACAAGATGGTGAGATGAAGCCGTCACGCGTTTAGAGTTTATTGAAGATGCACATGGATGTGTGTGACGTCGTCCTACCAGACAGATGGACAGATCTGTTGGTAGTTTATTTTCATTGTAATTCTAGATTAGAGTGGTAGGCACGGGTGTGTGCTGGATACCATATAGCAGTGGTTTGCTGCGGCCTTTTCTAGTGAATGAGTTCTGGACGTGATCCAGGGGATGTAGGAAACGAACCTCGTTAACAAATCTCTGTGTCTTTTTTTTTTATGCTCTTACATACTTGCATGCGAACACATCACACTCGAAGATATAGATTTAGCCACATGCCATGCTTTTACACTAAATATTTTATTACCTTATCCCGATTTTACAGTGTGTAAATCACCATTTTCCAACAAGGTGACTATCTAACCCGGCCTTGGCTGGAACTCAGACTATGTTTGTTGTTTAAACATATTTTTGGAGACTGTGGACTATCTTACTAATATATAACTTTGAGTTTAATATATACCGGAGTATAAAAATTTACAAGTGACAAATAAAGTACTAATCACGAATTCACAATAGTATATGCTATACATTATACTGAGGACTATTAAGAACGGGTCTCTTAAGTGACACCCATCTTGCAATGGTGTATATGTACATTTGAAATTTTAAAACACTGATTATTTCTAAGTGAAAAGCACAAATGAAGATAGATATCTAGCAAATTAGAAAACCAATCAAGAAGAGAAAAAGGTAAACAGTAATAGATCATGTGATTATGTGAGAGCTCTATCAAGGACCCCAGTTCATAAACGATTAACAAAGGTACAATATACGGAGAACGAAGTGTGACGATAACGACGAGTATGCATGTGTGTTTCATAACTTCGATTTATTGTTTTGCTGAAAAGACATCAGATAGAATTTATCAACGTGGCTATGTCTAAACCCGTTTGAATTTCTCCTATCTACGCACGTTTTCAAATTTGTAAATCACTCATTTGTTTAATTATGGTATTATGTTTTCTTTCGTTCTCAGCTTTGAAGAAAGACGTATGTAACCATATGCAGCATCGAAGACTAAAACAAAACTCTGCTACATTGAATCCAGTTGTAGAATACAGATTGCATTTAATTAAGTTTTTATTTGCATGTAATTACTAGTTAGCTTCTTATTCATTTGATAAGTGATCATTTAATGTTTTCATTTAATTTTGATTGTTTCATACTCAATCTTCACGCTAGAAGATCCAATGGTTTACGCAGTTTAATACTCATCTAATCACGATCTACAGATGATTATGTACAAATTACCAGTCACAAGCCTAGCCTATAATCGCTGTGACAAAGAAAAGATCGTCTTGTGACTCTTGTCTCTTGTGTTAAATAAAAAAGATCGTCTTAAGAAAGATATTATGCATATGAGAAAGAAGTATTTATTGTAAATAACTTAAAATACAGATATACTCTCTCTATTTCATTATAATTGTCAAAATCTAAAAGTATACTTATTTTGTAACGAAAATGATATAAAAATGACGCTTAATATGAAATGGACGGAGTAAAAAACCTCATAACTTTTTTTTTTTTGTCAAAAAGATAGAGATTTAATTAGAGCAACACTAATAGTGACAATTACTGCTCAAAAAGCAAATTAGACTGTAATAAAACGCGTGAAATCTGATCTTTCGACGAAACAATTTAATTGCCACCGACCTAACAAAAATAATAAAAAATACATTAGATGTGAAAGCAGAGACAGAAAAGTATTTTAAAAATGTAATTTAGCGAATTTTCTTTTGGGGAAGTTTGACAAAAAAAATTGCTCATTCTCCACCACTGTCTCCTCTTATACACAGATTCGCTTACTCAAAAGTACGCAAAAAGAAAAAAAAAAAATCAATTCTCAATCTGAATCTCTAATGGTGAAGAAGTACTGTGTTGGCACCTGAAACAAACACCCACACACACAGAGAGAAGTGAAGCAGCTTTCTCCTCCTCTCTCATCTCCATGATGAGAAACTCTCTCTCGTTCGAGATCGACGACAATGGCGGCGCCGGAAGAGACGGTAACCACAACAACGTCGTCCGAGATCGTCTCCGTCTCAAACCTATTTCGACTGATAGGCGAGATCGATTGCGTAGTAGTACACGTCATCATCACATTACCGCCCGATCGCTTAACCGCAAGGGATTCCTCCTCTCGTTGCTAAAGCCACGTGGCAACTGGCTCCTCTATTTTCTCGTGGCCTTCACGGTTTGCGCGTTTGTTATGTCCTCGCTGTTGCTTCAGGATTCGATTACGTGGCAAGGGAATGCGAAGGGAGGAGGAGGAGGGGAAGTTAGGAGGCGGATTGGATTCGGGAGTTCGTTGAAGTATGTCCCTGGAGGTGTTGCGAGGGCGTTGGTTGAAGGGGAAGGGCTTGATTCGTTGCGATCGACGGTTAGGATCGGTGTTCGTCCTCCCAGGCTTGCTCTCGTGAGTGACGGAGACTTTATTAGAATTTTAAGATTAGTAGATCCGGTTGAGTTAAGAGTAGCTTAGTAGATGTTTCTATTTCTAGCATTTGGAAGAGGAGATGGCAAGTGGAGATGGTTAATGGCATTAGAATTTATGAAAGTTTAATTGGCCAAGAATCCATGAGATTTGAGATCTTCTCAAGTCTTCATAAAAAAAAGATTTGATGTGGACCCTGGTTTATATCTTTTTCATATCATAGCTAAAGCAGAGATCCACCAGCGAGGTTGAAAAAGCTGTTTATATTAGCTCAAGATCTATTTTTTTTTTTGTGTCGAGGCTGAGTCAGTGGAGAGATAGTAGTTAGTAATACCTTAACGCCCTGGCTAGACATATGCGAGATCCTGGGAAAATGCCAAGTCTTTCGGTTAGATTCTATGCATTGGGGTAGCTAACTAGTATGTAACTGAAGCTAAATTGCTATGTAGTTGTAGATTTGCCAAGGAGTCTGCTGGCACATCATGCTTGAATTTGGCAGTAGGCTGTTCACGGTTACCTTGTAACTGTTGGCATTTTTTTTATCTGTTGTTTCACTATAGCTGGAGCCATTTCCAGATTGGCTTTAGAAAAGTTCTATTGCTATGTATATACTGTTTTATTTCTCTGATCTATGTCGCATATTGCTTTTCATTCGTACGTCTCCATGCACTTTCTGTTCACTAATTTTTTATATATATTACGATTGACAGATACTAGGGAATATGAAGAAAGATTCCCGAACATTAATGTTGGTCACTGTGATGAAGAATCTTCAAAAACTGGGTTATGTGTTTAAGGTGAAACTTTATGGCATTTTATGCTTGCAGCTCTTGCGCTCATATTGATGATTTTTTTTTCCTGTTTTATGGTATAAGCAAAATAGATGCTCTTATTTGTTAGTCCACCGAAAATATGCAGTCAAGTGTAGATACATGCGTTTTTGTGTCTTACTTTCCGCATCTCTTAGAAAAGCTTGTGACCTTAAAAGTTGTCAGGTTTTTGCCGTAGAGAATGGCGAAGCACGTTCATTGTGGGAACAGCTAGCTGGCCATGTTAAAGTTCTGGTTTCAGATCAGCTAGGGCAGGCTGACTGGACAATGTATGTGGTTATCAATTCTTTGAAAACTTTCTTGTTGTTTTCCTTGCCACATTCTCAAATCCGGATTCTTGATAAATGATTCTTAGTTGCTCTATTGAATATTTTTTTTTTTTGTTTCTCCCCTCTACCTGGATAAATTTACAGTGATTCATCTTTTGCAGTTTTGAAGGTGTTATTGCTGATTCGCTTGAAGCAAAAGAAGCCATTTCAAGGTGGGTGAATTAGTTTTGTTAAGTTTCCTGCGATCAGAGTGACCTTTGTACTGCGTACTTATACTGGCTATTGCTGCCTAATATGTGAAAAATCAACTAGTTGTTGGGCGTCTCAGAATTTTGACAATTGCTTCTGTGATTGCCATTCTATGATG